ATATCCTACGTGTTCTTGCTCAAACAAATCCTTAGCTAGGGTCATTCGGATTGAGAGAGAAAGAGTTCTCTGGGAGAATCTGATTAAGAGTAAGACTCGAGTAGAAACCGTATGAGTTTGATAGCACCATACCCCGGTATACGGTCTCTGTGATATTAGATGGATGAGGGACTATATGTATATGGTAACTGAGGACAAACAGATCTAATGGATTAAATTCCCCTGTATCTGGGGACTGTGGCGTAGTGGCCTAATACGTCCGTAGTCGATGAGTCGAGTGAATTATTATGGAGATAATAATTCATTGAGCCAGAAGGAGTTCTGATAGGTATGACTCATGGCCAGCTCGATATTGGGCCTAGAAGGTCACACACATATGATAGGCGTTGTGATGAGTAGAGGTTTAGATATGAGATATCCGCAATAGCCCCTATCTTATTGGATATCCAATAAGCCTTTGAATTATTGGATCCCATGGATGAAATACAATAAAAGCCTATGAGAGATTATTGGATAGAGATCTATTAATTTAAGAGGCTTGGGTAGTTGGATGAAGATCCAATACCCAATAGGGGAGGATCCATTATGGTTAAGTTGATAGGGGACCTCTATAAATAGGAGGGATTCAGTGGTTTATAGGTTAAAGCTTTTGCTTGCCTCTCTTATTATTCTCCCCATCTCTATCTCAGAGCAGGTTTGGAGTTTTGAAGAGCATCGTCGTAGCCCTGCTGTGTGGATCACCGCTAGAGAGGAGAGCACTTGACCTCCTTCACCCTCTCCTAGAGATCTGCAAGGATTCAAAGATATACGATCTCCCTAGATAACATAACCTTTACTATACGTAATTTTCTATTTTGTGGATTTTGTGCATAAATCTTCACACGACGATGAACATCTCTTTGGGAATAGAGGATTTTATTTTCTGTTCTTCCACTGTGCATGTGATGTCACCCCCAAAAATTTCCCAATAGGCCCAAGTGGGATTGTTTTGGGCCAAGAAAAAGGCTCATTCAGTGACCCAAAAGTTGGGTTAGGCGATGACACCACCAAAGTGTCACGGACTTAGCTGGTTTTGTCTAAGTCGTGCGGCACCCTTGCGTGTCCGTCTGTAAAGGCCAACCTCCCCGAAGCCTCCCATGGTTTCTTAGGACCCACAAAAGAGAAAATATGTTAGAGAAAACGCCTCACTCGGGATCCATAAATAAAAATTCCAGGAAACACTTCATAGACAATGCAAATTATAAACAGATTTTACAAGCTCTGAACAGTTGCACAACAAAGGGTCAAAATGATCTATTACAGACCGAATATCTCTCACAAGTGTCTATATGACACGACCTTTATTTACAAGTCAAATAAGGCCACCAAACCCAACTAAAATTGGGCTGTTAAGCCTTCAACCTTTCCTCTACATGCTATGCAAAGTATGAACATACCAAAAGACACGGACATACATAAGCATTACATCAAACATCTTGTTTAAAAGTTTGTCCGTGACAAAAGGCTTAATCTCCAAGACATAGTCTTTGATATTGTGTCAGGTAGTGGTACCGCTAGATTGGGTGGTGGTACTGACCACTGCCCAGACACAGTCTCTCAGAGTTTGTTAGGCAGTAGTACTGTCCAGTGTAAATGCTGCAGGCGATAGTACCGCCCAACACAAGCGGTAGTACCGCTAGTACCCCGAAGACCCAGGATGAGACTAGTTTTGGCTCCAAGTTTGAATCCATTTGAGGCCTATAAATAACTCTCTCATCCATGCTCAGCGTACACAAGAACAGAGAACAAAAACAAGGGAAAACTCTATTGTAATCTTGTGAGAATTCTCCTCCGCTAGTCTAGGTGTTGATTTATGTTTAAGAGAAGAGTAAGTGGGGTTGTAAAGGTTCTCCCCTAAGCCTGTCAAAAGGAGAATAGAGTTAAAAGAATAGTTGGTCCTCGCCTATTGAAAGAAGACCATTAGTCGATGTCGGTGGCCTTGACGGAAGAATAATCGAAAGTGGAAGTAGGTCATGACAACCGAATCACTATAAAACTCGGTTTGCATTTACTTTAAGCTCTTTACTTTCATTGCAAACTGTTTTTCATCGTATGAAGTTTACGATAGCACTAATTCATCCTTCCCCCCTTTTAGTGTCGACTTGATCCTAACAGATGATGATGATGATGATGATGATGATATGAGAAAAATAAAAATGGAGATAATCCTTATATATATATATATATATATATATATATATATATATATATATATATATATATATATATATATATATATATATATATATATATATATATATATATATATAT